TCAGATAATTCACCCACATCTTTATAAACTACCAAAAAGACTGCAAAATATTCTGATTCAATAGACGAGTCAGAGAAGGTCATGACCTGGTGCCAAAGACAGGCCTTGGAATAAGAGTAAAACAAAAGACCAACGTAGAACCTTCAAAGTTGCCTTGGTTTTTCTATGGGATTTTTATTACAGTATAATTGTACTGTTTTTCCAGTCACTGGTTGTCAACCTGCCAGTTCAGCTCTTAATTCCCAGTAAATTATGCAGTGTTGACAGATAATGAAACCAAAAAGGAACACAAATATTACATGAAAATATTTCCACAAGACATAGTCATAACAATATCAACTAAGAACCTTAAAGAACACAAGTTCTGACACAGATCAACCAAGTACACTGCAGCACAGTTTCTCAGGTAAGCACCATGAAATATTTTAAATATAAAGTAGCATGGTGATGCAGTCGTAGTCAATACAGGATTAAATGGTGCTTTTCTTCGCCATGACCTGGGACGGCAAGCAATATTTCTACATGCCACATATATTGTACATATAGAATTCAATAAAAAGTAAATGACCACAAATGACTCGCGTTAACATCCATACTGTCACATTCCTGCAAACTTTGTTTTTTACAAACACGCTGTATTAAAGGGGACATGTTGTGCTGTATATACAGAACAAAGTTGTTTATCATACACAACAGCCCTGTGTGTGCCTTCACCTTTGAATGGTAATGAGACACTGGAGGCTCACCCATTTCATGTGTGGGGGAAAGACCTGAGAATAGCTACACGTCACGATAGCAATGATTGGGCAGTGAAAAAGAAATGGCTGCCAGACAACAAACTTTGGTCCGAACATGTGTTTGAGCGACAGAATGAACCTGAATGATCTGCAGTGGTTGTGGTTAAGTTTATGGTAACTAAATCATATGATATTAACTCAAGTTAATCACAGGCCTCACTGGCTCTCTTGCTAAAAAACCTACACAGTGCAGAGGGCCGTAACATTTTTTACGTCACAAAGCAATTATGAGATTCTAAAACATCTACCTATTTGGCGAAACAGACGTTCAAGGAGTAGGCAGTCACTCCGGAGACACAAACGTACAGAAACCCTGAAAAAGTCAATTTAGCAGAACATGTCCCCTTTAACTGTTTGTCATTATCATAATTATTATTATAAATATCACCAATCACAGTTGCAACAATCCTATGTTTCTACACTGAGGAGTCCTCTGACCCGGGTCAGAAAAGCCCACATTTAATCAGGTTTAAAATTCCAGTCATTCAAGTCAGTATGTCTACTCATGTAAGGTCCACTGTTTCAAGCAACGCATGACAGGAGATCGAGCTATAAATATTTATGTACAATTATATAGAGGCAATAATAAAAATATATTCCCATGCAGGACAGTTACAGTATGCAAAAATAACTTATAAAATGTATTTCACTCAGCAAAATAGTTTTTATAGAAGGGACACAATGGAGCTACTGTCTATATATTTGTTAAAATAGATAAATACCAATAATGCTCTCATTAAGACCCATAAACCAATAAGCAAAAAGTACCTTGTACTTATTATTTTTCAATAGATATTTTCAATTATTAAAGGTTAATTTCTTTAATACAACTTCCACTTCCAGTGTTAGTAAAAAGTGCTTTTGGACCAAGACCAGTGACGGTTGGATTTGGAATTTGGAAGACAAACATTTACGGTATTTGTCGTCAATAATTAGCGCCGTGGTTTTATGTGGATAATCACATGCCATGGAGCCAAAAATGTCCTCACTTTTGGACATTAACGGTTCAAAGGAAAGTGCTAACAATGGCTGTACTTGTTGAAATGATAAAATGTCAGATGGAAGAGGGTTAGAGGACAAACATTGTGTATATTTCGTTGTGATGAATGACCGATGCTTGAGATTTCCTATGTATGGTTTGTATTTAAGGGTGCTGCTCCTACGACACACTGGAGCAGTGGATGCTCGGAGACCCCATCTGTGTGAGGACCTTATCCAGCCACTGCAGAGGACCGTTGAGATGCAGTTCTATCCAACAAGGGGTGCTAGTCACAGTCTGACGTCTGCAGGGGACAGAGGAGGAGGTTTTACAAAACAAAGATTACCTTGTGTTTGGAAAGTCTAGTCAACCATCTTCCTTTTCACAAAAAAAAAACAAACTTATGGGCAAATCTATCTCCACTTTCTCAGCTGCTGGAAACCATTCAAGACTTTTCCCAGAGATGTTTTCTCTCTGGAGTGTTTGGTGCCAGAAATATGACACGCAGCACTCACAGTCCAGTGGGAATCCCCTTGCAGTGGGTGTCCAAATGAGTTCACCCTCTACTTCATGTCCTCCACAGCACTGCATGCCTGCTGCATTCCTCCCATTACTCAGCTCTTTCTTGCCTTCTTACAGCAGCACCACCTCCAACATCCATAAACAGAACCACTTCATTCTTGTTTTCCCTCAGACTGGATTCAATTAACTCGATCACGGGCATTTATGCCATTTTCATTTTTTGTTATTTCAAACACACTGATACTAAAAATAAATATATAAAAAAATATAAAAATTTTGACTTCCAACTGCCAGGTTGGTTTTTGCTGGACTACCCTGCCATTAAAAAACAAATTCATAGCACAAACATATTCAGCGACCACAGAACAATGTGTCCAAATTGTTTATTTAATATTTAATATTTAATATTTATTTAAATTGTTTATTTAATAGTCCAAATGGCCAAGAGTGACCTTTTTTTCCTTTTTATAATTGTTTATTTGCATGAATATCCAAAAAATAAGTATTGTTCATTTTCTGCTGTCTGCGGTCTAATTATTGTTGAGTCTAGTAAAAAGTCGGCTACATATGGTAATTTTTAAATTTTACTGTGAACATCGAGGTCTCAAAGAAAGATATCTCAAAGAATTGGACTCACCTGTACTCTGCTCCCCATCCTTTAACGAAGCTCATACGGATGGTGCACATTCTGGTAAGTTGGTAAACAGCCTCAAATCCCTGGTTGACAGACTGGGCGAGTAGAGCAGCAAACTCCTGGTTGTTGAAGATCTTCAAATTACAACCTGAGGATGTTTGTTAACAGGAGATTTACAATAAGCATCAGTGAGATGTTCGATTTTTATCTCTTTTTTGGCATCACGTTTGCACATATTCTCACTGGCTGACCTGGAGGAATTTTGCAAACAGTGGCAGGATGCCAGCCGTAGCGCTGATTGCAGTTTGGACTTTGAACAAATATGGCACTGTCACTGAGACACTCTGCAAACACCTCGCCCCCAATGTAGTACAACCTGACGCCCCTTCCTGGAAAGGGAAGAGAGAAGATTGTCAGCAGGACAATAAATCACAGCAGAACTGATTTTAACCACAGTAGTTCAAACCAACTTATAGACAGTACGTGAACTGACAGTAATATTTGTCAGTTGGTCAGTGTTGAAGTCTTCGTACGTCTGTGCATTTGTTTTTAAAATGCACAGAAGCATCTGAAGACAATATATCGTGATAGGTAATAATAGGCCTATTTAAATGCAATAAAGCTGCTTTTAACCACAATGGACGACTAACTCTCAATACCCCAGGCACTCTACTTGGACATAACGTTTTCCTCATCAACCTAAATTAAAACTTTAGGAGCTTACTGATTTATCCTCAGTTTCCTCTCAATTTTTTCCTCAGACCGTGCTTGTAAACTTCGACCTTGTTGTCCAACCCAAGTATTTTATTATTAACTGTGACTGTGACTCAAACCCCTGCAGCTCAAATCAAAATCTTCCTCTTTAACTAGGCCTGTGACCTAAATCCTGGTGACTCCACCTGGCCTGGACTCTGGTAACCTTTGGTGACCTCTTGGTTACTATCATTTAAGAACCAGGAACCAAAGTACCAGGTTGGGTTATAACACTGCCTGGTACTGTACCCAGAGGTCCTTGTACCTCACGATGGAAATACAACTTTACATCACAGCTCCAGTGTCACCTGGTAATAAACTGAGTACCTATGTGTCTGCGCGTGAGCTCAACTGCTGAGTTGCGGTTGACGTTTGACAGCAGACCGAGACAGAAGCGCTCAGAGTTGGATGGGTCAGTGAAGCCATCTACAGTGAGGGAGGGCTGAGACGCATGGAAGGTCTCTCCAACACGTTGGTTCAGTTCATAGTAGGATATAGAGCACCAGAAGGCCGATTCACAGTAGGTCACAGGTTGTAAGCCTGCATGGGCAGACAGAGGCCAATAAAATATAAATAAAAATATACATACATGAAAACAGTGATAAAAATAAAAAATAGACATGCATGTTTTACCAATCCAGTACATAAAGTCAAATACATAGAAGATTCTGATATGGATCTGCTAATGGCCTAAGGCTGGTAGTTGGCCACAAGGGGGCGACTGTAATGGTTGCAAAGTTGAGTGCTGGTAAATGTCTGAAGTTAAGGCTACATATCAGTCATTCCTCTTAATAGTTAACAGTTTGTCTGAGTTGTTTCTTTACTAGTTACATTTGTTTTAAATACCTTATTTAGAAATAGATTACTTATAAAAGTCAGTGTCTCTGAACTTTGTCATATTTCTCACTTAGTGTTGTTGATCCATTACTGCCTCCTTCTGTTAGTTCAAACGTGTTATATGCTGACTGGTGTTTGGAATCATTTAAATCCAACAAGTGTGTTTTGAACTCTTTTCACACAGATCCTGGCTTTAGGGTTTTAATGTTTAATGTCTTCCATGAATAAGGGGGTGTCATACATGCTGAACATGAACACTTACTTCACTAATAAGTACCAACTAAAGCACACAAGTGATTAACTGTCTTGTAAGCCAAATAAAAATAAATGGAAAAATAACTGTGATCCAAAGGGCTGTAAATTGAAATTTAAAGAAATAATAATCTGAGACCATAAACTGGATCTGATCTCTGTTGTTCTTGGAGTCATGGCTACCAAACGTGTTTACACCTGTTATGCTGTGCTGGGGTTTGCTTACCAAGATTACTGTTTGAGGGTGATATAGGATTGGGTGACAGACTGGGTGAACCTGGAACAGAGCAGGGCAACAAAACTGAGTTACAATCTTAACCAGGTTTAATGGCAACAGTTCATTCTTGAATTGTGTCTTACTGGTATCCATGCTGTGGTTGAGCTGGTGGTCACTGGTCTCACCATCTTCACTAAGGTAGCCTGGTGGGGGTGTTTCTGGGAAACAAGTATGAATAAGTAACTATAAGGCATTCAGAAATTTAGGTTGTATGTATATAAAATGTACATATTACTAAAAGATAGGGTTACAGTTACTACGAGGCACATACTTTGTCTTTCATTTAAAGATTTGCAGATACAGTACATTGAAAGCCACATATTTGACAGAAATTAAATAACAGACATTTAAATAAAAGACACGGCCATTCTTACCAGGAATATAGTTACTTTGGGGCTCAATGCCAGCAGGGAAATTTGTGTTCTCAGGAATGGATGGACTGTAGTCATCCAGCGGTGGAAACACTGCAGGGATGTCTGTGTGCCGTGGTACGAGGACAGGAGGCAGAACTACAGACACATACACAGACATTCAATAACACTGTCACTTCAGTAGGTTTCATCTCAGAACTACAGCACATTTAAATGATGAGCTGCACTCACTTGGTGTCTCCACCCTCTGGTAGTGGTAGGGATTGACACAGACTTCATCCTTCTTGGTATGAAAGGCAAATTCACAGTGGTCGACAGCTCTTAACTCATGGTGGGACTGTAGATCGGGCCAGCGCCATAAACGGCAGTAGATCACATGAGGGAGACCTTTTCTGGTGGAGACCTGGAGACGGCCATCTAGAGATCTGAGAGAGAGACAAAGAGAGAGAGAGAGAGAAGGGAGAGAGAGACCATGAGAGAGACCTGGTTTGTACAGTGTACACAGAGTTATATGAGGTCTATTTTCCAGGTCAATAAAACACACTTACTTTTACTTAGGTTTAGATTAATTAAAAATAAATGTGCAATTTTATGTCAGGCTTTGTTGTGCTTTGTGGTGCTAAAGTAAAGGAACCACGGTCCGTTTTCTCCATTGTAGTGTATGATGCATTATATAAGTTGACGTGAACCTCAGTGACTAAAAAGGAGAGGAAGGAAGGTGTGTAACACATCCTTGACCTCTCTCTCTCAGAGTCCAGTGTGGTGACGGCCTTCTTTCCATTTGAACCCAACGACAGTTCGGCTCTTTGTTGAGCCGTCAGATGAGAAACATATGGTTCTCATTCCAGGCCTCCTGTGAAGCCTGTCCAAGAAGATTCCGGCTCAGAAAATACCATGTTAGAGCAAACACTAAGAAGACACTAGTTATTAGGGGAACAATAAAATATTATTCAGATGATATGATGCAACACTGTAGTTGAAATCTGGAGTTTAAAAAAATTAGAAAATAACATGGTATTATTTATTTTATAAAATACTACATAACAGATACTGTAAAATAAATAGATTTATAAACAGCCAATAACATAAACAATCGATAACATAAAACATATATAGATTATAATTTAAGAAAAATGTCACATGGCGTTAATTAAATTTTTTTTGCAAAAAAACCCCAGAAATACTTAGTTCAGTATCCTATGAAAAATGATGATATAATGAAAAAATACAACTAGTTTAATTTAGAGACACCGGGTCTCCACAGACGAGAATCTAACACAGGGAGTCTGCCACCCAATGCTTGTCACTGATTCACCTCAGAATTCACACTTCAGTCTAAACATCAGTGTGAGTCAGGGTTGATACTCATCAAACAGTGGGGGCTGTGGGCAGTTTATATGTCACCACATTACCACTGACTAACACAGATGAGCTTTCTGAGGTAGTAACAGTATTAGTAATACTATGTTACTATTTGAATCATACTATTGATTTCTGGACTCTGTTCTGATGCAAGTTCAGAATATAACTTCCGTCGTGATTTGCGGTCTTTATGCTATGCTACAGAATAAATAAATGTCCAATCAGGAGGCAGTGCATTTGAAAATAGTGTCTACTTACATTTGCAGCATTGAGGACTCTATTAATCTCAATCCATAACTCCATTTGATGCAATGCAGCTCCCATCATAAAAAAGAAAAACTTCCATATGGTTTACTATCGCCTTCAGCCCTTTGGTAAACAAACACGTCTTATGCTCCATCCAAATATTTCTAATTTTAATTCCTGAACTCTGTTCATAATGTTTGGTTCATAGGAAAATGTCATGGATTTTTGTCCAGATTTCTCCACAGTGTTGATGGGTTTTTTTTACCTGTTCCTTTACCTATTCACTGCACCACCACTGCATACATCACTGCAGCTACAGTGATGTATGCAGCTCACGCTGCTCATTCTTATTGCTTATTTAAAGACCTTGAACATCATATTTCTTCAGTCAAGATAAGATAAGACAAGACTAGTACTTAAAGTAAAGTAACAGCAGGGTAGACATAGTATTCACAAGGAGAAATTTAATTTTTCTTTTAATATTCCAAGGTTTAAAGTTTTGTTTTTCCCTGTCAGTGCATTGTGTATTTTATTTTACAATATATTGTGCCAAAGTGACTTATTCCCCACATCTTGAGAATTCAAAATGAGATTGTTTATACTTACACAGACATAAATCTTTGTGTGTACACAGCAACACTACATTCTGTATTGCTTTGTAAATATTTTTACATGACTGTAAAAGGTTTAGTGTTTTGTAAAACAACAAACCTGGAGAAGTTTACTTCCAAACTAGGAATAAAAAGGTCCTGGTGAAGGTGTGGAGATATTGCACAAAGCATTGTAATGATGTAATAGTGTATGACGAATATTATTAGCGCAATAAACATACGAAAATCGGAAAGGGGGGGGGGGTTAATGGGGGATTGGCAGCCTAACATTTCTTGGAGCGCCCCTGTCGGACGCTGGACTATGACATAACATACGTACATGTGTTGTTCGCACGTCCTTACTCAGCTGTTTGATGACACAGTTTAGTGACAGCTTTTCATGAATCAGTTTTTTTCCCCCCCGTTTGACCTAATACTAACCGTCTCTCACTTATTTACACAACACGGTGAAAATGTTTTGCAGAAACAGCAGGTTTAGTTCATCTGCTCATGTCACTGTTACAATGAAATGTGCACTAAGGTAGAGCCTAATTACCGGCGTGATTTAAAAAAGCACTTTAATGTGACTAATTGGGACCAACGTTTATTATTGAAGTTATGTCATTATATAATTCATGCCAAATAGGCTCTTTACCGCAAGCTGTCATTAGCCTTAGCTTGTTAGCATAGTTAGCTCAGGGGAAGCTTCTCTGGGCAGTCAGTGAATTTGTGTCTTTTTACCTGGGTATGGTGATGCATTTCGTGTTGACATTCTGTGTCGTGATGGCTTTCTCCAACTCGTCCAGTTGTCCAGTTTTCTTCAACTTCTTCACGAGACTTTTTACAGCCTTTTCGCACCATTTCTCCTCTTGTCCGTTCTGCTCCCCTTTCTTCCAGCCGAGGAGCCTCTTCACTATAGGAGGGGTGAACGGTAATATGGACATTTTAAACGTAACACTTGCAGGTCCTTGGTTTTATCCTGCAGTACAAAACTGCACAAACAGCTATTTAGCTTGTAGCTCTACACTCCCACTGCAGGAGAATCCAGGGTTCGTTTGCTGGTTATCGGCGTTCAAGTTTAGTTTTGTGGGACAGGAGCAGGTCCTTCAGCAGCAGCAGCAGGAGACTGTCTGCCTCTGACCGCCCCCTCCTTCTCCTCTGCTCCTGCTCCAGCTCCAGCTCCAGCTCCTTGGTCAGCTGCTCTCTATCCTCCACTTGCATCAAACAACTTCTAGCTCCATATTTCTTTTCTTTTCTTTTCTTTTCTTTTTCTTTTTCTTTTATGGCTGTCATTAATAAATCTTATCAAAACGTCTTGGACCCAAAAGTAAATTCAGATCTTTCTTTTCTTTTCTTTTCTTTTTTTTATGGCTGTCATTAATAAATGGTATCAAAACCTCTTGGACCCAAAAGTAAATTCAGATCATTCACTGACTTGACTACCATTTCCTGCATTGATGAAATATGCCTTCACATTTGTACATCTTTAAAGGGTATACTGTGCAAGATGTTGGAAATGTGTACATTTGTTGTACACATTTTATTTTCAAAAACAGCAAACATCTTTTGTAATAATTCCCACATTCAGTTAGGACTGCATGTGAAGAGAATCAAGAAAATTAAATTATGAACCTTTAGTTGCAGGATGAATATGACTAGACAATGCTAATGTTAAAAAAAACAAACAAACATGTACAGGCATTCGACAAAACCTTCTCAATTTCAGACTGGATATTCATACCACCTCTGCCAGAAATAAAGGAGCGAAAGCAAAATCAGAATACTGTACTACAGACTATAAAAACCGAGTAGTAGACAGTAAGCCACGCATACTGGCGCCATTCTGACCGCACTGAGATATAGTTGGACATTTCTGGGTTTTTGTTTTGTTTTTCATTTTTTCATTCATTTAGCATCGAATATAGGTCTAAACTCCTTGACTTCACATTATTTGCCCTAACTGTGTCCGTGGCTAGAAACCCCTGATGTGTAATCCAAGTGACCAACTCAAATAGATGACATGAAGTCACCGGTTATTTCCAGAAATGGACAAGTAAGATGACTGTGCATTAATTGGTATGGGCTGAGAGGGGTAGTGCTATTGATAGGCTCAGCCAGCGTCCCTGCCTCCAGTAAACAGCAGTGAGCCTGTGCTGTAAATATCCCAGCCAAGGACCAGCCTCCCTTCCCCTCACTCTATTAATAACCTCCATCAATGACTGCAGACTATTTTTATGTAAGTATTTGGCAGGACTGCTCACTTCCTTCTTTCTAAATAAATATTAAAGCTCTATCCTGGCAGTGGCACCTGAGGAAATATATATCCAAATATATATCCACCTGACTTAGCAAACATATCATGAAACTACACTTTTATGTTACACTTTGATCATTGAGACTTCTTCGATCCATTCATGTCTTTGAATGGATGTGGAAATGTTTTATGAACTAACTGCTAAATATCATCAGTTGCCATGTCAGTAGGAATGAACAGCAGCAGATTCCCAACTCACGGCTGAAGAGTCAGTGCATGTTTGGATGTGATATGTGACCATAATATTACACTATAAAGCATGGTCCAAGCTGTTCCCTGCTGTACGTGATATGTGGACATCAGTGTAAGTCACACGGCTCAAATAAAGTCAACCATGCAAAGAGTTTGCTCTGTGTTTAAACCCCAATAAATAACACCAGCTTTACAGCAGTGGCTAATCCTCCTGACTATATTTCTGATGACTTTTCCTGGGACCGGCAGCTTTTACAGGCAGTGGACCAGAGTGGGACAGCTGGTGTGGACGGCTTTGGTGCATGTGTCTGGAAAAAAAAAAAGAGAGAGAGAGAAATGGTGGGGTCATGCGATTGGTGTCAGACTGGGGGGCAGATGGGCAGGAAGGACAGGGTCTTAGGGACAGACTGAAGAATGGCTCTGGACAAAAGGCACGACGGCTGGCTGAATAAGTAATGACTGAGGAGAATCTGTGGGATTACAATGGCATTGTGATGAACCAATCATGGCCGCATGGGAACCAGGCAGGATGTAGTAGAAGAGGCCTGATCAGCTGTGTTGGTCCCATAACAATAATAACGCAAGACAGAGTCGCGAGAAGAGTGAGTGTGGGTCTTCAGGTCCACACGAGCAGCAACATTTGATTCCTCTAAGAATAAAGAGGAGTAAAGAGCAGTAAATCAAGCAGTTGTAACCTAGTTCTGGTGAAAACATCCCCTGTGATGATGACAGGGTTTCCATAATTCCCTCATATCATTAAAGAATTTCACATTTACCCTCCATAAACCTGTAATTGGCAGCTAATTGCAGCAGCTAATTGCAGCGTTAGAATCTGGCAGACCGTTCATCTCGGCCCCACATGGGTGGGATCTACTTCTCCCTACAATCTTTGCTTCTTTTTTTAATCACCCTTCACACTGCAAGCTGTTATCTGTTGCTCACAACCATCAATCTGTCCCCAGACAGTGGCACCTCCAAATCTGGGGCAGCACTGACTTTGCTCCTCCCCCTGGCCTGAACCAAGGCTCCATCAAAATCCTCCTCCCCTGACTGCAGACCCATGGAGATGATGCACCATCACATTCAGCACTTTGTCACTCTTTCACTTCTAAACACTTTTCTGACATTAAACAACTAGCAAGCGTGGTTGACAAATAATGAATGAGTGGTGAATTCATTTATTTTAGTTGTCAATTTTAAACCAGAATCATTGATTAATAATACATGAATGCACAGATAGATTGATCTAATTGTTACATTGATTTTGCATTGTCCATGAAGTCAGTCACCATATACTAAATACAATTAAGTAAATTTGTGGCACGTAAATAATTATTTTTATTAAATTAAAAAATATATATTTATTTTTTATCAACCGGTACATTGGCTGGTGTGTGCATTTCATTGTCAATATAAATTGTGCACTGCCACCTTCTGTCTTATTTTAAGTACTACAACATGGAACAGATTATTTTTGACGAGAAGTGGGCAACGTTTGTCTTTATAAGATGTGTCTTATAAAGAGTATTTTGTAGGAAAAGAGAAGTGGGCAACGTTTGTCTTTATAAAATGTGCCGTATAAAGAATATTTTGTAGGAAAAGGGTTTAAAAAAAACACACACACACACACACAACCTCGTGTGTCGTTGATGCTCTTTACTGCCTTTCTTCATCCAGTGCTAAAAGATGTTTTGGACTCAGTGTGATTATAATATTTCTGTGATTCAATGGCATTGATTTATATGGCATACATTTAACACAATTTACATGTTTATTGTGGACAACGGCCCAGAACAGCATTAAGTTGATTCAGAGGCTTTGCAAAAAATATGCCCTCATCTTACATATGCATTAAGATGCAGCACTTTGCCATGAATCATTAACTTCACCTTCAGGCTAAAAAAGCCTGGTGTTGGAATGGATTCAGAGTTCTAGACCCAGTATTTATGGAGGATGTTTGGGGGAGAAAAAAAAGCTCTGATATGGACAAAATATAATTTTTAATACAACTAATCAGTGTTGAATGTTATATAGTATTTCTGTTAATTGAGGCAGACTTGAGAGAAAGTGTATTATTTTAGAAATGTAGACAACATTTTTTGTCACGTGTTACTTTCATAACGCCCAGATTTTCAGACATCGGACTCTTTTCCCGCGCAACTTTCTCCTAAAAAGCTTGTGGAACTTGTCATTTTGCAAAACCTGCTAAATCCAATCTGTCACTCATGGCACCAGCAAAACTAATGATTGTGAAATTAGTTTCAGCGCAATCAGGAGCTCCCCTGCTAAGACCCACTGTATCCATATGCATGAAATTGCTTGTGTTAATACATACTATGAATCGTGGGTAATGCAGTGAATAATTCTGACTTCACGCAATAATGCTATCTTCTATTAGATTGGGGACTGTTGTGAAACTGGAGCCCTGTGGCAGTAGGCTTGTAAATGAGCATGTATGGATAATTAAGCATTACACTTGAACATTAAAACTTGCTTATTTCAGAGAACTGCAGGCAGTGCTGTGTTCTTATTGGACTCATCACTGCTTTTTGTCTCTGCCTGTAATGTCTTCTCATTAGCATTTGTATGCCAGCAATCCTTTAGTGCTTTTATTTCTCTTACTGTACCCTGAAAACAGATTTTCATCAGCGTGAGTAGATTAACGGTCTTGTTTTGGGAGATATCTGCAAGATAATCTTTGACTTTGTGCCCGGGAAAGTACAGTGTAGAGAGGATGACTGGTGTTCAAACAACTCCACTGGGGCATTTTTAATTTTTTTTACAATAAATCAAGATTGTCCATGATGACACTTGTTTAGCCTTATTTTAGCCTTATTTGTCCACTTTTTTGTCCACGAGACCATAGAGACTAAATACAGATTCATCACCATCAACATTTCTAATCATTATTTCACCTCCTACCTAATTATTCTGCTGCCTTCTGTGTAAATATACTGTATGAAATAGACATTTTCAAAGACTTCTGTAAAAATGTAAACATAAAAAACAACTTGATCATACCAAGTAAAACAATTTTAAAGAAATGAGATCCAGTAAAAAAAAAAAAATCTTTCATCCAATAATTGTGATCATGACTTAAAGAGCATATTCACCTCACTTTGATTTAATGTAGCTTAACGAACTACAGCAGATCTTTAATTGGGGCTGTGACACTGAGGCTGCGACTTGGTCATTTGTTTTTTTTATCTTTATTTTTTGACCCAAGACCAAATTCAACTTCCTGGGTCTCCTAATTTATATTTTTTTATTTTTTCAGCATTGTGATGTGAGTTGACCAGCATAAGGTGAAAAAGAAGATGTTGGAGACTGAGGGAAATAAACGGAGATCGATGGACAAAAGTCTTTAATTATGGGTCACGTAAAACAGTGTAATTAAGTTTCCTCCTTACAAAGCCAAATTATCCATTGTCTTTTAATTAGATAGACGGAGAGTGCATGTTTGGGACGCAGAGAGACGATAACATTCTTTAATCAGAGGTAATACTAATTCTCTTTAAATCCTACAATGAATGTATGTGGAATGATAAACTGCTTGGGTTTTAATGCCTTGCCCAGTGGCACACAACTGTAATAGAACATCTAACCCAATTCTAAAATATGCTCGTGGTTAGACACACATATGTTATGGTATCAGGTGTATTAATCGTTTAATTACAGTTTGTATCAGTAAATCGCACTTGGAAATCCTTCACAATAGTTTAA